TCCCGCTGCACCCACAGACATCGCCCGCCCCAGTGCTCGGCACCCCGCCCCGCTGCCAGCCCCCACAGCCGTTGCGCCACCCGCACGGACAGAGAGAACCCACGCGCCTCCGTGGGGGGGAACCCAACGCTGGCAGAAGGCCTCTGCTATGGTGACAGGCAGAGGCCAGGCAGCGCCTGCCCATACATGGACCGCCCTGAGGCCGACGCAGACGGCGAGTCCCCGTGCTCCGCTGCGGGATGGGGACAGGGACAGTTCTGCCAAAGGCTGGTCAGGAAAGAGACAAGATCAGGAGGCTGCCACCAACAGTCCTACTGCCTTGGACTCTTTAAGCAGAAATCATTTTGCAAAGCCCAGAATAATTGGAGGAAAATTAGCTGCTTTTACTGTGCTAGCTAATTCAGATGCTTTTATTCCTTGCGAAGCCACTGGTAACCCCCGTCCAACAATAGAGTGGACCAAGATGTCATCAGGTAAGATTGATAAACCTCCCCAGAAATTACCTCCCGTTACAATCTTGTAATTTGGCAGATGTTTTGTGTGCCGAACTCAAGTATTGCTTCATTTAAGAGTACCGTGAAAGAACAGTGAAAAGATGAACTTGGAAACAGTGGAAAGAAAGATATCCCGGCACACTTGCGGAGTGTCTTACTGCTAATACATGAAACGGTTCTTTAGGGAACTAAAGAAATATATAATCTATATTTAACCATAATTCTGTCTTTATTGTAAGAAGATTTCAATATTTATTGTACGTTACCTGTTATTCCAGAGCAGTGAGACAAGTGAAAAGAAAAATCTGTCTGTGGTAACAAACCATCAAATCAAGTTAAAGCTACGCCAAAATATCTGTGAGTACGCAAAGCTCACAGCTCTGCCAAAGGATTTTTGGATCTGCAGAGCCCCGTCTGCTTTATCCAAATGTTGTCTCTACTGAGGACTAAATTTTGGGTTTTACTTTAAAGCTTTGTCATTGTATTTGCAAAATAGTCTTATTTCTGTCTTTCTTACCACGATTGTTTTAGTTATTTGGGCAAAGTGGAGCAGGACAGGGAGAGCGTTTTCAGGGACCGAGTGAAAAGAAGCTCAAGGAGAGATGTTCTGACGTTCTGCAGCGTTGTCCCCTTGCTTCCGTAGGGACCGATGCTCTGGCAGGCCGAGGTGACGGCAGATGGATGGTGTTTGCCAACGGCACGCTCTCCATTGCCCGAGTGGGCCTGGAGGACCGCGGGCAGTACCTGTGCACTGCGGCCAACCCGCACGGCACCGCACGGCTCCTGGCCACCTTGTCGGTAGTGGCCTACCCACCGCGCATCACCGGCGGCAGGTGGCAGCTCCTCACCGCTCACTCCGGAAAGCCCGTGGCAGTGAGGTGCAAAGCTGAGGGAAGGCCTCCCCCCACCGTCTCCTGGGTTCTAGCAAATAAGACGCACGTCTCCGACTCTTCTTCAGGAAATAACCAAGTTCACGTGCAACCAGACGGCACTTTAATTATCAAGGAAGTCACTGTTTACGACAGGGGCCTCTACACATGCGTGGCTAAAAACCCAGCGGGCAGTGACACGCTGGTTGTAAAACTGCAGGTCATCGCGGCACCTCCCGCTATTCTGGAAGAGAAGAGACAACGTGTTGAAGGAACGATGGGGGAAAATCTGAAACTCCCTTGCACCGTGAAAGGGAACCCTCAGCCCAGCGTCCACTGGGTCCTCTTCGATGGCACGGTGGTGAAACCTCTGCAGTTTGTCAACGCAAAGCTGTTCCTCTTCTCCAATGGGACCCTCCACCTCAGCAACGTCGCCCCTTCCGACAGCGGGAATTACGAGTGCATAGCCACAAGCTCGACTGGCTCGGAAAGGAGGGTGGTGAGCCTCGTGGTGGAACACAGGAACGCGCTTCCAAAAATAGCTACCGCCTCCCCAGAAAAGACTCAGTTGAACTTTGGGGATAAGTTGCTTCTGAACTGCACAGCGACGGGGGAGCCAAAGCCCAGGATCATCTGGAGGTTGCCTTCCAAGGCAGTTGTCGACCAATGGCACAGGTAGGAGTCTTTATTTCCCCTCCCCCACCTCTTTGACACTGCAAATGCTATCTTCTCTGGCGCTCGTATAAGAGATCATTACATCACTGAAACAATACATTGTGAACTAAACTCACTTTTAAACATTTAACAGGGATGAAACATCTGTGATGATGGCTTGTTATTATACTCCTCGTTACAGACCACATCGATTGTCATAAGTGAGTGAGGTCTTACCAAAATGAATACAAGTCTTATTTGAATTAAGGAATCAGCTGTTAATCGTGCATCGGCTGAATTTTGTCATTTTATAGGAGGAAAAGTTATTTAGAAGAGATTTGTGTAGTCTCTGCCAAGTCTGCCTCTGAGGGTCTCCCCCCGCAGTTACACTTCACCTTCGCTTTGGGAGGGACAGCCCTGGCTCAGGATGTTCCGAGCAGGCTCACAAGAACTCGCAGCTGGGCTGAGGGAGATCCAGGTCCGTGCCCCGCTGCAGGAAAGGCAGCCAGAGGGCAATCACTCGGTGCCAAGTGTCGTTCTGGACAACCCGTGGCAGCACGGCCAGCTGGCCCTGGCCAGGGGCGAGTACCACAGGTTGTCTGCAAGGAGAAGCATGAGGGAGAGGAGCAGGGGCTGGTGGGATGAGGGACGTAAGGTTTAGCAGAGGCGGCATCATGCAGCTTTGCACACCTACGTGGGTCAGCAGGCACATGCACTTCCACGTAACTACGAAAGCAACAACTACATCAGGTTATAACCCGCTGGGTCTGTGGGTGATGCGGACACAGCGTCGTTGGAGAGAGCTGCTGTATCGTGTTGTGCTGTTACCACTGTCAGTCACTTTCGGTGCTCAGTATTCACCTCCAACATTTTGTTCCATAATTCTTTTCCTCTTTCTCCCCCACAACAGAATGGGAAGTCGAATCCACGTGTACCCCAATGGATCCTTGGTTATTGAGGCAGTTACTGAAAAGGATGCAGGTGACTATCTGTGTGTCGCAAGAAACAAAATTGGAGATGATCTGATATGGATGAAAGTCAGCATCACAATGAAACCAGCCAAGATTGACCAGAAACAGTCTTTCAAGAAACTGGTGCCATACGGAAAAGATTTCAAAGTGGACTGCAAGGCCTCTGGGTCACCCGCCCCAGAAATATCCTGGAGTTTGCCAGATGGGACGGTGGTCAACAATGCGATGCTGGCAGATGACAGTGGACACAGGTCTCGCAGATACATCCTCTTTGACAATGGAACTCTGTATCTCAACAAAGTCGGAGTAAGAGAAGGAGGAGATTATACCTGCTATGCTCAAAACACCCTGGGAAGAGACGAAATGAAGATACGTATCACGGTCGTCGTGGCAGCCCCTCAGATAAAGCACAACTACAAGACGTACATTACAGTGAAAGCTGGAGATACGGCATTACTGGACTGTGAAGCTGTTGGCGAACCCAAGCCAAAAATATTCTGGTTGCTGCCTTCCAGCGACATGATCTCCTCATCAACAGACAGACACTTCCTGGGCGCCAATGGCTCTCTGTCAGTCAGTCAAGTCAGGCTGTTAGATGCCGGGGAGTACATGTGTGTTGCTCGCAATCCTGGAGGGGATGACACAAAATTGTATAAACTGGATGTTGTTGCTAAACCACCCATCATAAACGGTTTATACGTGAACAAAACAATCATGAAAGTGACGGCAGTGAGGCATTCAAAGAAACAAATTGACTGTAGGGCAGAAGGGACACCTCCTCCTCAGATTATGTGGATCATGCCTGATAATATTTTCCTAACAGCTCCGTATTATGGGAGCAGGATTGCAGTACACAAAAACGGGACACTGGAGATCCGGAACATAAGGCCTTCTGACACAGGAGATTTTATCTGCGTGGCACGTAATGACGGGGGGGAGAGTATGCTGGTGGTGCAGCTGGAGGTATTAGAAATGCTAAGGCGACCGATGTTTAAAAATCCATTCAATGAAAAAATAATAGCAAAACCTGGAAAAACTACCACACTGAATTGTTCTGTGGATGGAAACCCTCCACCCGACATCAGCTGGATGGTGCCTAACGGCACGTGGTTTTCCAGCGGCATCAGGAGTTCCCAGTTCCTCACAGGGAGCAGCGGCACCCTTACCATCTACAGTCCTGACAGAGACAAAGCAGGGAAGTATCGCTGCGCCGCCAGGAATAAAGTTGGCTATATTGAGAAGATGATCATCCTGGAAGTGGGCCAGAAGCCCAATATCCTCACGCACCCAACGGGGCCGGTGAAGGGCGTCAGCGGGGAGTCGTTATCGCTGCACTGCCTGTCTGACGGGAGTCCCAAACCAAACACGGCGTGGACTCTGCCCGGTGGCCACGTTGCAGGAAGTACATACTGCTGGAAAACGGTACTTTGGTCATACGAGAGGCCACCATTCATGACAGAGGAAATTACGTGTGCAAGGCCCACAATAATGCCGGAGACTCCTCTGTGACTGTTCCTGTGGTGATTGTAGCCTATCCCCCCAGGATTACGCACAGACCCCCGCAGACCATACGCACGATGCCTGGGGCAGCAGTTCAGCTCCACTGCGTGGCACTGGGAATACCAAACCCAGAGATTACCTGGGAGTTACCTGACCACTCGGTACTGTCTGCGGGTCGCCAAGGCCGAGCTTCTGGGAGCGAACTGCTTCACCCCCCGGGGACGTTACTCATCCAGAATCCCCGACCCTCCGATTCCGGCGCGTACAAGTGCACAGCGAAAAACTATCTTGGCAGTGATTTCACAATAACATATGTTCACGTCATTTGAAATAAGAAATACAGCATGAGTGATTGTTAACAAAGTCTACAGCTGGACCGAGTTCATTCTTGGAATAAGTTTAATCAAAGGCAGCCATAGGCATGTAAGTGCCTAAATACATTTACAGTATTCAGTCTGCGATGACCGTGCCAAAAAAGAGAGGAAGGGATGGGGAAATTAGAGCCAGCATTATTATCTAGCGTTGGTTCTTTTGGTGATTAAATGGCCTTTAATAGAAACAACCCTAAAGCACTTTTGCTCTGCCAGCAAACACCAACTATCAAATACAATTACTTTCTGGAAATGTACCTAGAGATATTCAGTAAAGGACAGCCTTTTTCATATTAGTTTAATATCATCCACCTTGTGTGACTGTCATCAGCATGGATCATATAAAGCAGGTGTATCTGAGAACCAAAGAGCAGATTTGATTGTGATGCAGATTACCTTCATATCTTTGAATATTTAGTATGTTTTTTTAATAAATATTCAATGGTGAAACAAGTAGTGAAGTATTTCTAATACTACAGCTCTGTTTCACACAGTCCTTTTTGCAGAACTTTGGGATGACACATACAGAACAACCTTGTTCTCATGTTTAAACAAGAGAGTAAGCCCTGTTTAGTGCTGTTTAGAAAAAGTACACAGACCACAGGTAGAAACACTCTAGCCTGGTATCATTTTTCTATTGTCACAAAAGTATTTTTTTGAAGATTTCTCACTAGAAAACAATTGCATCACTTTGCATATAAATTTAGCATTCTCTCAATTCAGTAGATAGGGCTAAGAAGCAACCTTCCGTACACGAGGGGAAAAATGCCTTCACAGCGGTAGGAAATGCTTAGCTGCACATTTTACACCAATGAATCACAGCTTGGACTGGTCAAATAAATCCTTAAAAGCCAGTAACTAAGCCAGTAACTAAAGCTCAGAGCTTCTTATAGTCTTCCTGAGAGATGAATGTCAGGCCAGAGGGGTCAAAATACACACAGTGCAGCCTTTCCCCTTAACTCCGTGAACTGGGGACACGTCTCACAGAGGAAAGGATCCCTTGGCCCCAGCCAGCCCCAGAGCTGCCAGCGCCTGGCACTGCCTGGTCTCGCTGGGATGTGTGAAGGGTTCAGTGGAACCGCCCCCTGCCTCGCCAACAATTCATAGACTCGTAGAATGGTTTGGGTGGCCAGGGACCTCCCAGCCCATCCAGTGCCACCCCTGCCATGGGCAAGGACACCCTCCACTAGCCCAGGTTGCCCAAAGCCCCATCCAACCTGGCCTTGAACACTGCCAGGGAGCCAGGGGCAGCCACAGCTTCTCTGGGCAACCTGTGCCAGGGACTCAAAGGATTTCTGTCAGAAAAACAACTGAGGTAATGCGGTTCTGGACAACCTCTTGAAGTGCAGGTCTCATCCTAAACTCTAGTCAGTGGAGATCGACTTGAGGCCCAAGCCACTCTTAAAATATAGCTGACAGCTGCTACAACTTCAGGAGCTTCTATCCAATAAAATGCATTAAACTGCTGAAACTCACCCAGCAATCGAGAATCAAACCCGGAATTTCAAATACTCACCATACAACATCGGTAGCAGACACAGGAATTACTCATTAGGGCGACTTCAATACAACGAGCTGTCAGCTATGGCAGCGCCGAAACCACAGAAGGGGCTTTGGTGGCTTTCACAGAACCCCAGACTGGTCGGGATTGGAA